CGAGCAGGCCTCGGGTGGCCGGCAGGGGCCTGGGTGTTTCTGGGAGTGAGGCGGTGGGAGTGGAGCTGGAGCACAGAGGCTGGCTGTGTAGACAAGGAAAAGGCAGGGTGGTGGCAGAAGGGAGCAAGAAGCAGGAGGGGTTTGCTGAGCGGTTGGAATGCCCACTGGAGCCGCGGAGGGGAGGGAGATGTGCCCAAGTCCCGTCAGACGGGGTGCTTCCCTCTGCGGAAGGGGGGTGCTGGCTGGGGGCCCTTCCTGGGGGAGACTGGGGCTCAGGGGGCCACCATGGGGGTTCACATGGGATCTGCAGGGCCGGATGCTGGCCGGCAGGGGCACCAACTCCCCCAAGCCCAGTCTATAAATAGCCGGCGGGTCTTGAGGGGAGTCGGGCTTTTCTATAAACAGCCCTGTCCTGGCCCGGCAGCTGGGCCCGGCCTGTCACACGGCCTTGCCTGAATTAGAACACGTCCCTGCGGCGGCCTGTGCACCGTGGGCCTGTCACCGGGGTAGTGGCAGTACAGGTCACCGAGCCTGGGGGGCTCACTGTGGGAGCAGGGCGGGCCCGAGGGAGCGGGTGGGCTCAGCCACCTGGGGCTTCCACCCTGGGTCACAGCGCCCCACGGACGACCTCCCGCGCGGTGGGCCCGGACGCAGACCCCTCAGACGCCTGCACAGGTGCTCACATCCTCGAGTGCAAAACGGGGCCACCGCTTTGGAAGACACTTCGCAGTTTCCTAAACAGTTACTGAGCCGGCCTGTGAGAAACCAAAACCCACGTCCACACGCAGACCAGCCTGTGGATATTCACAGCAGCTTCCCACGGAAACGCCCCCGGGGGTGTCCACACCGTGAGGCAGGGCGAGGCCCACCCAGACGGCGGAATCCCACCCCACCACATGCTACAACATGGTGAATCTCGAGAACACGCTACGTGGGAGAAGCTGGCCACGAAAGGCCACGTAGTGGGACTCCATTTATAGGAAACGTCCACAGAAAGCAAATCTATGGAGAGAGAAAGCAGACTTGGGGGCTGGGGGAGGCGGCATGGGGAGTGGCTGCTAAGGGAACTTTGGGGGGATGACGGAATATTCTAGAACTGGATCATGGTGCTCGAAGGCCTTGTAAATCCGCTCAAGACTCAGCGGGTGAGATTTCTGCATGGACGTTCGGGCTCCCCTCGCCCCCACTCTGGGGTCTGTCTGGCACCTGCTCTGCCCCTGTCCCGGGGGTGTTTTGGAAGCAGGCAGGCCCGCCTCCGCCCACCCACGTAGGCACAGCCGCTGGGAGAGGTCAGTGCACGTTTGCCCGCTGCTCCTGAATGCCACGTCGCTGCTCCCGGGGCCAGCTCTTTTCTTCTTTATTGGTCTGAGCCTCTGCAGACACCAGCCTCGAGAGCACACACCTGGGGCAGGGGTGGGGTAGGGGGAGCTGGCAGCCACCAGGCCTGGGTCCTCGGCCTCCTCTCAGCCCAGCGCGGGGAGAGCCCGGTCCCTCTGGAGGAGGCAGCGGTAGGGACAGTCATTCTGGCGACAAGGCGGCCAGGCCCTGGCCGTGGCAGCCAGGGCTGGGTGTACGGGGACGGGGGCCAGCCCCATGGGATCCCTCCCGCCTCCGTTTGCTGAGCGGGAGCCCATGTCCTGTTTGTGGTGATGCTGGCCAGCCTGCCCCTACCCCAGGCCCTAGGGTCCTCCCTCCCGCCACCTATGCCCAACTCAGCTACCACAGAAGAGCGGAGATGCATAAACAATCATATTTCAGTTAAAAACCACTCAGCTCCAGCCCAGCCACAGGTTGAGAGGCAGAGCTGGGAGCAGGGGACCCGGGCTGGGTAAGGAGGCAGCGGGTGGGAGTGTGGGAGCTCCAGCTCTGCCTGGCTCCCGTGGCTTTGTGGGGAGAGGTCTGTGAGGGCCTGTCTCCAGAAGCATCTGGGCGCCAGGTGGCTGGAGGGCAGGGCGCAAGCTGAGAGGCGCCCTGGGGACACAGCCACTGCCCACCTGCCCGCAGGGGTGCTGTGGTGCATGCGGGTGCAGGCGTGGGCATCGGCATTCAGAAAGCAGACCACAGGAGGGCTGGGGGCGTGCAGGCTGTCCAGGAGGGGGCAGGGGGCCGGGCCTGGTGCCTGCTGGGGTCTCGGCCAGAATGCCCCCGAGCAGCTCTGGGAGGCCCACCTCCCTGGAGGGTAAGGCACAGAGTTTTGGTTTCTCAGGGGCCCAGTTCCAGCCTGGCCCTGGAGGAGCCCCACTCAGCAGTACATCCAGGGGCCCACTGCTGTGTGGGGGCCGGCCGCGGGCACTCTCACTTGGCTTTGGGCTTAAGGCTGAGGCCTGTGGGGAGCGAGAGGAAATGGCATCGTTAGGAGCAGACTTGCTGGGGACAGTGCCACGGTGCCTGCCTCCAGGTCCCCAGGCTCTTGTGGTCCCATCACCATGGCCTGGTGGCCTGCGCTGTGTCTCCCCGGGTCCACGCTGACCCTAGGCCTTTGCTTTTGAGCAGCAAGACTCTTGCAGGTGGAAGGGGCTGGGATGACCCCCAGCCAGCTGACTCCTGTCCACCTGGATCTCTGGGCCTGCTCCCCTGCCCTTGCCAGACCCTGCTCTCCACCGCCCCCCAGGCCCTGCTCTCCACAACCCCCCAAGGCCCTGCTCTCTCCCCCCACCAGAGATCCTGCTTTCTTCCACCTGCCCCAGGCCCTGCTCTCTCCCCTCACCACCATCCAAGGCCCTGCCCTCCCAGCCCAGGCCCTGCCACACTGTCTACCCTCGTCAGTCCCCACCGTTGCCTCTCCCTGGAGCTTCCTCAGCTGCTTCCCTACCCACCCCTGACACTGGGCGCCTCCTGACTTGCGTTTTTCCAGCTCTGGCCCCAGGGCCCCAGGGCCCCAGGGCCCCAGGCCCCGCCTCCACAGTTCCTGCCAGCTGCAGGCCCCTGCCCACCAAAGCCCTCTGGTCCAGGGGCCCTTGCTCGGCTCCTCCCTGCAAATGCCCCGCCCCCACGGCCCCTGCGGGCTCCCTGCGGGTCTTGAGCCGACGGGTCTGAGGATCGTGCTCGAAGGAGACAGGGTACAGAAGTGAGAAAAAAGGTCAAAAGTCGTTCAGGGCAGGGTTTCTGTCAGCCCCCGGTGCCAGGGCCCAGGGCAAGGTGGGGCTGGGGCACCGCACAGCAGGAGGCTCCCAAATCACCCCCTCAACCGGGTAATCGGCATCCAGGCCCCACGCAGGGGATAAAAGGCCCCAAGCCCCTCTTGAGGGGCTCTGGGGAGGACCCACATCACGTGTGTTGAATTCCTGCCCCAAACACAACCCGGAAGCAGTGGGGGGCGGCCGTGGGATGCCCCTGAAGTGAAGGTGCCTTCCACACGGGTGCCGCCTGAGACAGACAGAGGCTGGATGTGTGGTCCCGGGGCGGGGGGGGGGGCGTCTCAGTTCCAACAAGCCAAAACAACCAGGCAAGGTGGGACCCCTGCCTGGGCCCTGCCGGGGCCTGGGCTGCACACGACAGACCCCGAAACGTCCTGGGTGGCGGGTGGGGAGAGCAGCCTCATTCCCAGGAGACCCTGGGGGCTGGGTTCAAGTGGCACGGTGCCTCTAACTCTCAAACCCTTTCGTAAAGTTGAGAGCAATGCACCAGATGCTGGTAATTTTGCTATTTTTTGCAAGGTCTTGCCCTTTCAGGGTGAAGAGTATGTGGTGCTCGTTATGATCTTGCAAATTCCCTGTCTGGTTGAAGTTTTCCCAAATAAAAGGTTGAGGAGACAAGGAGGGTGGGATTCCTTCCTCCTGCCCCCAGCCACTGGATGCTGGGGCCCAGGGTGGGGGAGCAGGCATGCGGCAGCGGGACCGCTATGCTGGAGGACGGGCGCAGTCCACAGAGAGCACAGAGCTGTGCTGGGCACCCTGATCTTTCCCTGAGCAGTGGCCACATGTGGCTGCCAGCCCCCCAAACCCACAGACCACTCGGCCCCACTTGCTAACACTGGTGTTTCCCACCAGAGAGCCAAGCTCAGAAAGTAACCCCAGGAGCAAACTCTGGAACTGAGACTAAAGGCTGTGCCCAATAGTGAGGATCAACTGGAAAGAGGGATACACCTGACCTGGCTCCTGCCTTTGCTTCCTCTGGGCACCGCTGGACCTCTCCTCTGTGCCCCAAATCCTGCAGGTCAGCACAGCACCGTGGCACCGAGCTGGGTGCAGGTGTGTGCAGAACCAGGTGGCTCCCTCCTTGTGATGAACTGGTCTGCCCGCCCCTAGCACAGTCCAGAATGCAATAGGGACCCCGGGCCTGTCTGTCTGCATCTGTGAGCCTCTTGGGCCACGTCAGAGACAAGTCCTGCCCATCCTCGAGGGTCCTGGGAGGCCTGGTGCAGTGGACCCAGGATGTGCCTACAGACCCATTTGTGGTCCCCAGGACCTGGCCGCCAGGGAGGGGAGGTCCATCCATTCCTTGGAGAGGGCTTGTGGCCTGCTTCTCCCTGGCAGCCGGCCCCTGGGACTGTCTCTGTCCCTCACTGCCTCCCTGGGGACATTTGTGGCCCGACAAGGACCAGAGGAGGGCTGGGGTGTGCCTCATGGAAGGTCTCAGAGCAAAGGTGCCACCCTGGGGGATAGGAGTCAAGAAAGCCCCGGGTTAGCCAGACCGCTTGGGACAGGGGCAACCTCCGTCTGTCCTGCCAGGCCTAGGAGGCCAAGCCACCCCCGCCATCAGAGCCCCCCCCCCGCCAATCAGAGCCCCCCCGACCTTGAGGCCTATTTGCCAGCGCACAGCTCCAAGGTCACACCTGGCCACAGCGGAGACACCCGCTAAGCAAGGCATGGCTCTTGCCCTTCCAGAGAGGGAGGGGAAGGCAGAAGCCAGGTGGGTCCCACCACCAGCGGCAGAGGCGGACAGGCTTGCTGACAGGCCCAGGCGGGCTGGAGGAAGCGGGTTAGTGTCCAGGAGGGGCTGGGTGCAGGCCTGGCCTCTGCGACCACCGTTAGTGCGCGGCGCCAGCATGGGTACGTACCTTACTGAATCACACAGAGTCTTTTTGTTTTATTATCGTCAGAGTCAGGGACAACCTCTGCTTTCAAATAAGAGAAGTCACTCAACAGCTTGTTCCTGACCTACCCTGAACTCGGAGCTGGGGCCAGGCCGCCCGGCACTCGGGCTGCGTGGATGCAGAGCCAAACATGGCTGGGCCTCAGGCAGCCCCTGGCCACACCCGCCCCGGCCACCACTCCTGCTGGGGACGGTGTGAAACGGGAGTTGGTGGGCGACGGGCGTGGGGACAAGGGCAGTGCTCCCCCCTCCCGAAGCTGCTCCTCTCATGAGCAGGAGGGTGGCCATCTCCTCTCCTGCAGGACGTGGGGTGTCCTGGGCATCACCCACTCTTGGGGGGAGAGGAGGGAATGGCCGGCCGTGGCTCAGAGCTCGAGGTCCCACTGTGGGTCACACGCCAGTGCCCCCAAGCCCCATGTGCCCTGCCCACCCAGGTCCCCTGCTTCCGGGGGACGAGGAATGACGGGAGGGGAGCCCCAAGTTACCTTCCTGGCTCCTCGAGGGGCGCTTCTTCCTCCGCTTGCCCGTCTTCTTTGAGGCGTGTCCCCGGGCCCTGGGGAGAGTGCCGGACCCTGAAGAGTCCGTGACTGTGTCCTCAGAGAAGGACTTGTCCAAGGATGTGTCCAGTGCAGAATCTGGGGCTGGGCCCTCCTGGTCCCCGTCCCCAGCCACACCAGGGCCTGTGGTGGGGAGGTGGGCACTGCGGCCGCGGGCAGCTGCGTCCGGCGGCCCCTCCACGGTGCTGTTGGCCTCAGCCAGGCAGACGCCCTGAGGGGCTGTGGGGTCTTCAGCATCTTCGCTCGACCCTGTGGCCCCGGTGGGCTTGTCACCGGAGAGCTTGAGAGGCTTCAGGGCCTGAGCACCTCCCAGCACCACGGGCCAGGCGCCCTGAGAAGGCTGGGGGCTCTGGGGGTCCTTGGTGGTCAGGACATCGCTGGCGTCCGTGTACCAAGAAGAACGCCTCTCCAGGGGCCCAGGCCCACCCTCCTCTGACGGGTCTGCAGGAGGCTGTGGGCCCGGGGCAGTGGCATCTGAGAGGTCCCAGCCCCGGGGCTCAGAAGTGGGGCAGCTGGTGCCTCCGGAGGGGACTCTGGGGGCCGCTGTGGACACAAGACATGGCAGCTGAGGGTGGGGCCCCGACTCCCAGACCATCCTGAGGATGTGCCTCAGGGGAGGCCTCCGTCCATCCCAGCTTCTACCCGAATGCCACCAGCCTTGCAGAGCCCACAGCCCCAGGAGACTTCCCTGGTGGCCTCCAGGTGTGGGTTCCCAGAGAGCAGGCCCATGGTGTGGCCGAGCAGGGGACACTGGGCTGATTTCATCCCTGTCCCTGGAGCGCCCCCCCACCGAGCAGCCACGCTGAGTGGAGCGCCCCCGCCCCGGGCCCCGTGCCCGCCTCTCCCACCACCTCAGCATCTCTGGGCCCGGGGGACAGGGACGCTTGTCAAAGGCCCTCGCCGCAGACGGGAGCCCCAGAAGGCCGAGCTGCCCCTCTAGCCCCACCTCGTGGCCATGCCACTTCTCAGGCAACAAGGGAGCTGCCCGGAGGACTCTCCTATGAGGTCAGAGAGGGCTTCCCGGAGATGGGGGGTGGGCAGCAAGAACGGCAGGAGGGAAATGGTGATGAGAAGCGGGAGAGGGTCTCACCAGCCGCCTTGTCCCTCGGCAGGTCCGTGGCAGCCGCCTTGCTGCCCCACTCTGCCTCCCCTCGGCCACGGGCCGTCTTCCGCAGCTGGAAGCCCTTCCTGATGTCGGCCAGCAGGGCATCGATGACACACACTTCCTCCTGCTTCCCGACTCCCCTCCTGACTGAGAAGCCCCAGAGACCCTCAGAGAGGCTGCCTGTGGGTCCCTGGAGCCCACCCAGGTGACGCTGAAAAGGAGACGACCTGGAGGGCGTGGGCGGTGCCCCAAGAACTTCAAGGATGGGGGTCGAGCACGAGCACGGAGGACTTGCAGACCTGGCCCCATAGAGGCCTGCCCCCCAGCTCTCCCCGGCCCCCCAGCCGGGCCGCCCCCCAGCTCTCCCCTGTGCCCCAGCAGGCCGCCCCCCAGCTCTCCCCGGCGCCCAGCCGGGCCCGGCCTCACCAGGCTTCCCATCCTCCCCCCGCGGCCTCCGCGCCTCCTCCTCCGCCAGCTGCTGCTTCCTCCTCTCGGCCTTCGCGGCCTGCTCCTTCCGGTCCTTGTTCTCCTGCGCGGTGGACACAGAGCCCGTGACCCCAGCCCTCGGGGGACGGCACGTGCCTGGCACTAAGGGGTGCTTCCAGCTGTTCTGCCCGAGGTTGGCGAGGGGGTGCGGCCTGGCCCACCTTCAAGGCGCGGATGAAGAGGTCCCGGAAGGTCTTCATGGTGCTGAACGTGTCCTCCAGGGACAGCTGCTGAGCATCCTCACACAGGTAACTAGCCAACTCTAGCTTCTTCTGCTCGACAGCCTGGAGCACCTCATCCAGCGCCTGGGAGGCCTCGATGCTGGCCTGGGGGCAGGGGGCACGGTCGCAGCCCTGGACGAGCCCCACGGCGGGAGCCCTGGGGGCAGGGTGGGGCCCCCGGCCGCAGGAGGGTGATGGCTACCTGCAGTGGCCCCCACAGACAGCGGGACCAGGAGGTCTGGGCACTGCGGCCCCTGGGATCGGGGAAGCCCCTCACTTGCAGGAACCACCTTGGGACCAGGGACAGCATGCTGCCCTCCTGCAGGGACCCTGGCCCTGGCTCTGTCCTCCCCCATGCTCACCGGCCCCTGCCTGGTTCGCTGACCTAGGCTGCCGCACCTGCAGCAAGGCCCCCACCCACCCTGGAGACGATCCAGCCTCGCCCCCCCGGCCCAGACCCCGGCCCTGGCTTGCCTGGATGCGCTGCGTGTACTGCTCCTGCACCTCAGGGATGGAGGACGACACCTTCCGCTCTATCTCCAGAAGCTTCTTCAGGTTGGTGCTGGACTCGGAACGGATGAGCTCAAGGTTGATCCTGAAAAACACCCCAGAGCCCGGCGGGGTCAGGTGACAGCTGATGTCCCGTCTTGTGGGGTCAGCGGAGCCCCTCGCCTTCAGAGGGACAGCGGGGGACACTGGACCACACACCCGCAGGTCGCTAGAAACACATCAGGGCTCTGGGAAGGGCCAGGCGGTGCTGGGGGTGAAATGCTGGGACAGTGACCCTGGTGGCTCAGCCCATCTTTGGCTCTCAGGCCTGAGAACCCTCTGTAGCAGCATGTACCTGAAGTTGGAAGGTCCAGGCCACCCTCCCTGAGCTGCCCCTCTGGGCTGAGGGACCCCATAAATGCAGCCCCACTTGCCTGGGCCTCAGTTTCCCTATCTGTGCAATGGGAGTGGCACAGCCTTCCTCACGGGCTGTTGTGAGGCTCAACCTTGTAAAGAGGTGGCGTCAGCCTGGCCCCTGGCGTGACCATGACCAGGTCACTCCCTGCCTCCCCCAGGCCTGTTTCCTCCTGTAAATCATGTGGGGACAGACCATGATGGACCCAAGGTCCTAGTCTGAGGTGAAAGTGAGCCTTCTATGGGGCAGTGGTTCCTGGGGGCCTAGCCTGGCCCAGCCACCTCACTGGCCAGGACCAGAGGAGGGCGCCAGCACAGGTGAGGTGGGTGGAGGGGGGGTGCCAGTGCAGGGAGGCAGGGGGGTGGCGCCAGCGCAGGTCAGGTGGGGGGGGGCGCCGGTGCGGCCAGGTGGGGGGGGGCGCTGGTGTGGGGAGGGAGGTGGGGGGGCGCCAGCGCAGGTCAGGGGGCTGGGGGGGGGCCGGTGTGGGGGCAGGGGGCACCTACCCCGCTGCCTGGGAGGGCTGCTCCAGGTCCCGGGGCAGCTGCAGGAGGTCTGGGTGGCTTTTCTCCACCTCCTGCAACAGGACATGTCCAGTGAGAGCCCCGTGGCCACACCCTGGCCCCAGGGATGCCCAAGCCTCGGGGTGGGGGGGGGGGCAGCCCGCGGTCCCACCTCCAGCACGTGGTGCAGCAGGGTCACGCGGCTCTGCTGGGACTTGGTTTCCGTGAGCTTCAGCAGCGTGCTGATCTTGAAGCCATCCGCGTCCCCTGTGTGGCTGCCCTGCGAGGGTCCGGGTCAGGAGTGAGGGCCCCTGCCGCCTGGCAGCGGGGAACAGGGGTGGTGGGGGCAGGGCGGGCTCGCTTACGTAGTTAAGGAAGTTTCCAATTTTCAGGATCAGCTGGCAGAAGATGGGCAGCCGGTGGCTGGTGAGCAGGCCTGTGGGAGGGTACCAGGGCTGAGGGAGGGGAGGGTGCCGCACGGGGTCTGAGGCTGTGGCGTGGGGTTCTTCACTCCCCTCCCCCAGGCTCGGTCCAGGGGTGGGCAGGGTGGCTGGAACCCCCCCACCGTGAACAGGCTCAGGGGCTCTGGGTAGAGGTCTGCCACTGTTAGCACTCACTGCACCCTCCCCACCCCGGGCGCAGATGATCACTGCCCCCTTCTGGGGGTGACGCTGCTGAGAGGAACCTCCCAGAAGGTTGAAGGTTGTAGTTTTGGCCTCCCCGGGTCTCCCCCAATCATCCCTTGGGGCTTCGGGGAGGGTGGCCTTCCTGGCTCTGTGGCCGGGATGGGAGTGGACGTCCACTGTGTGCGTCCCTGCCCCGGGGCTCGGGTATGTTCTTGCTCGTCCCTCATTTGGAGAAAGCGGTGAGTGTACACATGTGTGTCCCTGAGCACGTACCTGTGTGTGCACGCTCGCCGTGTGCACGGGGGCCTGCGTCTGTGTGGGCACGTGTGACTATGTGCACACATGCAGCTCTGTATGGGTGCCTGCCTGTGTCCGTGTGCACGTGTCGCTGGATGCACACGAGTGCACATGCACGGTGTGTGTCTCAGAGCAGGGACGTGTCTGTGTGTCTGTGGTGAGGTGGGGAAGGTCAGCGCCCCTGGGACCGCTTGCTCTCCAGGTGCCAGGTCCCCCGCAGCCCCAGGCTTTGCCCCCCACTCACTGTTGCAGGCAGCGAGGACCAGCCGGGCCTTGGGCTGCACCATGTCCAACACGACGGCTGTGCCCTCACACAGTAGCAAGCACTCTACCCGCAGCTGATAGCTGGGGACAGAGCAGGGCATCAGGGACGGGGCCCCCCCTCACTGGTGCTGGGCCTCCAGCTCGGGGGCCGACGGCCTGGCCCTGTTCCATGTGCATGTTCCTGGGCCAGGTCCCAGCGGTGGACTCAGCAGGCCTGGGGTGGGGCCTGGGAGGGCAGCTGCCTCCCTGCGGGGCGCCCCTCCCTATCAGAGCAGATGGGCGCGTGAGTGGTAAGTGCAGCGGTCCTCACGGAGTCCAGAGGGAACAGTGCACAGCCCCACTCCCTCCTCAAGGTCGGGGCCCAGCTCCCCCCTGCCCCTTCCCCACCAATGGGCCCTGGGGTCCGAGGGCTGCCCACTCACCAGGGAATGCCCAGCAGCAGGAGGTAGAACTGGTCGGCGTTGGCCAGCTTGGCCCGATCCTCTGTGAAGGAGCGCAGGTTTTCGATCTGCAGGGAGGAGGCCCGCACATGGGATTCCGGCTCCCATCCCCTCCCAGGAAGCCCCCTGCACTGCCCGGCACCTGCGTGTACCTGCCCCGCCAGGGCCCACTCATGTCCAGCACAGCTCCGTGCGGCTCTGGACCATGTGTCCATGTCCTCCTCTGTCCCTTGCTGGGGGCCCCCAGGGCAGGGCCGGCAGGCTCTTTCCCACTCACCTCGTGCTTTTCAGGAAGGAGCTTGAGGAGCTGCTTGAGAACCTCCACGTCGAATTTGGTGGTGTCCCCAGCCCGGATCATAGCAGTGACGTCCTCGTTGGAGCTGCAGGACAGAGGGCGTGGTTGGGGTGGGAGCCCAGGGAACATGGCCGCCTCCTGTGGGCTCCTGGGGACCCTGCCAGTCGGGGGCTGCCCTCAGCCCACGATCTCTCTGCTGCCTGGGGGCCCGAGCTTCCGGGACACAGAGAAAGCAAACCCCCTGCCTGGGGTCACACAGTAACGAGGCTGGGGGCTGAATACCGCCCTCCGGGTCTGCACCCTCTGCTCCTCCTTCCAGGGGGCTGCTCAGGACCCAGGCAGGCTGGCTCATGCATGCCCAGGGAGCTCCCTGGCAGGAGCCAGTGCCCAGCAGCTGCAGGCAAGGACTTGGGGGCCAGGAGCACTGCCCGCTGCTGTCTGGACCTCAGGTTCCTCAGGAAGTGGGGACTGGTGCTCTCCAGGGCCCCCAGCTGGGGCGGTCTGCCGCTGACTGGCCGCGGGGAGGGGGGTGTGCAATTCCGAGGAGCGGCCTGCAGAGGGCACTGCGCAGCCCAAGATGGGAGGTGCGGGGGAGGGGAGGGGACTCGCCAGGAGGGGCTGCTCACCATTTGAACTGCTTCAGGAAGATGTTGAGGTTCAGGCTCTTCTTGGAGTCCAGGAAAGTGATCTGGAAAACACCCCGGCCCTGGTGTTGGTCCCTGAGAGCAGCACAGAGGCCCCCGTCCGAGCCCCAGCCCGGCCCCACCTCCTTGGGCTCCTTCCTGGCTGGGGCGGCCACGTGCTCCTTGGGCTTGGCCTGGGGGAAGCAGAAGAGCCGCTCGATGCTGGGGAAGTCGGGCTCCACGACCTCGGCACTCAGGCTGCTCAGCGAGGCCCACATGGAGTTGTGCTCTGCACATGAGGTGTCTCCGGTCAGGCTCACGCCTGGGCCTAGGCCCAGACAGGAGCAGGGATGCTGCAGGTACGGCGGGCCACTTGCCCAGCAGGGCCCAGCCCCCGGCCACGGGAAGGCAGCCACTCACGGGGACCGGGGGGTCCTCACCTTGTGCCACCTTGGACGGCAGCTTCTGCCAGTTGAGCTTCTTCATGCGCAGAGTGGGAGGGTTTACTCGCCGGTGGCTTGGGACCCAGGCAGAGTCCAGGCTGTGGCTCACGTGGGCCACAATGATCTCCTCACCACCCATCCTAGAGGAGCCAGACAGATCCGGCAGCGGTGGGGGTGGAGGGGGGCACCCCGTGCCCGGGAGTGGGGGAGGGAGGACCCCACCCGAGACAGGCAGCGGGGGTGGTGGAGGGGGTGGGGGGGCCCCCAGGCCTGGCAGTGGTGGAGGGGGTGGGGGGGCCAGGGCCCCCAGGCTTGGCAGTGGGGGAGGTAGGGGCGGGGGAGGAGGCCCTGCAGGGGAGCCGGGGAGTGGGGGTGCAGGAGGGACTGGGGTGGGCGCCCGCTGCTGTGGGGCGACCATGCTGCTCGAGCCCTGGACGTCGACGGTGTGCAGGCTGGTGAGGTCGGCCTCAGGCTGGCGGGCCTCCACACCCGCCTTCGGGGCACCACTGTTTCGGGGCACGCTGCCCTTCTGACTCTGGCCTAGGTCGGCCTGGACGCTCTTGTGGGCCTTGTTCAGGGAGCTTGGGCGTGGCCGCCCCTTGACGGACAGGAGCCGCTCCACCATCTCTTCTAGGGTGCATTCCTGGACTGTGGAGGGGGTGTCCAGGGTCAGGGCAAGCGCCAGAGGAGGTGGGTGGTGGGCGGCGGGCAAGGCATGGCCACTGCCCTCAGACAGAGGGTGGATGAGGGTCCAAGGACGGGACCCCCCCACAGCGGTCTAAGACCCCACTGTGCCCACCGGGTCGGGGTCAGGGAGGGCGCTGTGGGCAGGACGCCCCCATCTGCCCCACCTGCTCACCATCACTGGCCAGGAGCACAGCTCGGTTCACCAGGTTCTCCAGAGCCTCCCAGAGCAGCTGGCTGGAGGGGAGGGTGGGCTCCAGGTAGAGGAGGCCCTGCAGCATGGACAGCAGCTGGGCAGAGGCTGGGGAGCAGCTCACCTGGGGGCGGGGGGGGAGGAAAAGGGTGGATGGGCAGCCGTGCCCTCCCCGGGGCGGGATGACAGCGGCAGGCTTCAGACTGCCAGGAACGTCCACCCCGTCACCGCTCTGGATGAACCGGAGCCGGGGCTCCCTGACTGCCGCACCGGTGATATTTGGGGTTGGACACCTCTCCACGCGGGGGGGCTGCCCTGGGCATCGTGAGAGGTCTCACGGCATCCCTGGTCTCCACCTGCCTGAAGCCGGTAGTACCCCTTGCCTGACTGAGACCACCCCAAATGTGTCCAGATGTTTCTGGATGCCCCCTGGCGACACTCGTCCCCTGGCTGAGAGCCGTGGGTCCAGTGAAGGACGGGAGGGCCTGAGCTGGACCAGAACACAGCCTCCTGGCCTCCTGCTGGTCCGGAGCCCCTCAGGCCATTTGAGGCAGCCCGCCTGTGGGGGCCCAGGACAGCTCAGCTACCTCTGGGCAGCCCAGGTCTTTGGGACGCTGTCCTCCTGGGTCCCATGGCCTTGGCTCGGTGCCTGTGACAGCAAAGACTGCCCCCAGGCTGCCCACTCCAGCTCCGGGCTCCTGTCTCCAGCCCCCTGATCCCTCGCTGCTCCCTGATGTGGCTCCAGATCTGGCCCCACTGCTCTGGTCAGGGTGGGGTCTCCAGGTCAGGGAAGGCAGCCGTGTCTGAGCCCTGGACCCCCACCTCTGGAGACAGGCCCAGCTTGCCCCGCCCCAGCTCACCTTGTGGAACACAGAAGCAAAGACCTCTTGATGGCTGTTCATGTTGATGCCCCCACAGACGCGCAGGAGCTCCTCCTCATCCTCAGCCTTGGCCTCGTCGAAGGCCTCCAGCTGGATCAGCAGGTCGGCATCCTCCAGGTCCCTGGGGCGAGAGGGGCCGGGTGGGCTGAGGCTGCTGCCCCCCCATCTCCCCCGAGCCTGGACAGACGCACAGACCTCTCTGAACGCGGCTGTGCTGGGCACGTGGCCCTGTAGCCGGGACAGGTGGCCCCACCCAGGAGAGTGGTCCTGATGCGGCCTGGGAGGGGCATTCTCAGCTGCGTGGGTTCCCAGAACCCAAATAAGTTTGAATTTCAGGAAAACAGCGAATGATATCTAGCATGAGTGTGTCCTATGTGATACCTGGGATATGCTTATGCTAGAACGCTCTGGTGTCCGTCTACACTCCTGCTTGACGGGGTGTCCTGTGTTGTATCGGGCAGCCCCCAAGCCCCTGGGCAGAGAGGTTCTGCAGGGTGGCCCGTCAGGCAGTGTGAACGACGGCAAACTGCACCGTCACTGGGACCTGGGTCCAGCGGGGTGGGCCCATTGGGGCCACTCCTGGAAGCCGTCTCTGCCCCTCTAGAGGTGGTGCTGCGTGGGACCCGAGGGAAGGGTGAGCCTGGCTTTGGAGACAGCGGTGGGCACTCACCGCAGCCGTGTCAGGGTGTCCAGCAGCTGCAACCCTGGGGAGGGACAGCGGGGTCAGCAGGCCTCAGAGACTGCTCTGGTCAGCCCCCCACCCCGGGTTGCTTGCGTCTTCTGATGCCTTCCCCTCTGCACTCTCCTTGGGCTCATTCCACCCACCCAGAACACCCAGCCCATGGGCGGGAGGGGGACCCTGCCATTGCTACAGGTACCCAGAACGCTCCGGAGGGCAACACGGTCGTCCCCGCTAAATGGTCACTGCCACCCCTGGCAGGACTGGAACTGGGGGGGTCAGCCTCACATTGAGAGCCATACAGGACTCATGTCCGGGGCCCCAGGGGAGCGGGGGTGGGGTGGGGTGGGCATCTCCTGCAGGAGGCACCGGGGTGGGCCGCGGGGACTTACCGGTGAACTCCCCGCGCAGCTGGGTGCGGGTGCGGAGGTCCTCGGGGCCCAGGATGATGGCGTTGATCACACTGAGCAGGGTGACGACGTAGGGCACGTTGTCGCTATCGGAGAGCTCAGTCATGATGACACTGAAGCGGTACTGCTGGTTGCACACCGTCTGCAGGGCGGGCGAGGGTCAGCACACACCCTGGCCCAGTGTGGACCCAGGCACCCTGCGGCTTACCTTGTAGTGGTCCAGGGCATCCAGGGTCAGCATGTGGCCCTCGGGGGAGTAGATGCACAAGGCGGCCAGCAGCTCGAACACCTGCTTCTTGACCATCACGTTGGACGTGTCCAGAGCTGCCGAGGGCCGGGGAGGCTCAGTGGGTCCCCCCGCCGTCGATCCCAGGCCTGGGCTCCTCCTCCTCTTCCCTGCTGCGGCCCTTCCCCACGCGTCTGACCCTCGGACGGAACCCCCACTCCAGCGGGACAAGCAGGGCCCGCAGGTGGACACCAGGGGGCGCTCTGCACCAGCGCTGATCCCCTGCAGGACCCGAGAGCCGGGCCCGGCAGGGACGGTCAGCTTGGGCTGGGCCTTAGTTCTGAGAGCGGTGCCTGCTGGCCCACACTGGCACAGCTCCCTGGGCTGAGCCCAGGTTTTCACCAAACAGCCTGGGGCGCCTCCTCGTCGCCCTGACCCCCGCCTCCCACTTCATCTCCCGGGCTGGGAAAGTGTTGGGGGCGCCCCTTAGCTGGCCCTGCTGAGAGGCTACAAGGGACCCTACGCAGCCGCACAAACCTGGGCTATGTAGGACAGGCGTGAGTAGCCTCTGGCTTGCTCACCCACACAGGCACTCGCCCACCCCCACGGGCCGACCCACCGTCCCTGCCCCCTCCCGGAGCTCCAAGCATCCGCCACAGAGCAGCACAGCCTGACAGGCGAGGGACACACAGTGACCCCTGTTCACTAAGGGCCACCTGAGGTCACTCCCAAAGGTAGGAGACTGATGCTGGGTGCAGCCTGGGGAGACTTCCTGGAGGAGGTGACCGTGAGCGAGAACTTAAGGAGTCAGCAGGTGCACAAAGGCACAGAGTAGCCTGAGCCGGAGGTGGGAGCAGGGCACCGAATGGGCAGGGGTAGGGGTGTGGGGAAAGGTGGAGGAAGATGCCACCAGCTTCAAGTGCTGGCCAGAACTCAAGGGCTGTGGCCCCGCAGAGGTCAGGGGCTTGGAGTCGGGTGGAAGGTAAACAGGGCTACTAGGGTGGACTTGCGTTTTTGGCCCAGGTGAGTCTGGCTGCCAGGGCACAAACCAGGGTGGCAGGTGGGAGGGAGGGGCGCCGTAGGCCGGAGCCGGGGAGAGGGGGCGGGGTGCGAACAAGCACAGGGCTGGACGGAAAGGCCAGGCAGAGTCCCAGACCAGAGGGGACCACTAGGCGCAGCGGCTGGGCGACCATGGCTCCGAGCTGACCTGGAGGGCTCGGACTTGGGGCACACGGGAGCCTGGTTTCTTCCCAGGACACCCTCCCTGCTGCCTCACTGAGTCTCTCCTGCGACCCCAGCCCTCCCACTGCCCTCTGAGGCCCGGAGCCTCTGCACTGAGTCCCGAAGGGGTGTGTGTGCCCGGCAGCAGGCTGCGGCTCACCCAGGGAGAGCTGGTGCACGTAGGCCTGGTTGCTCAGGATGTACTCAATGCCCTGCTGCGAGTTCATGACAGCGCGCACGCAGCTGATGCAGGTGAGCTGCAGCAGGGCGTCGGCGATGCGGGCCACCCCGCGGCCGGACAGGCGCGCCAGGGCCTCGAGCAGCAGGTCCAGGCCGCTCTGCTCCAGGAACTGCACCATCCAGCCGCCGTCGCTGCTCTCCAGACGCTTGCGCAGGCCCGAGTAGTTGACCACGGAGGGCATCTGCAGCAGCCGGATGCACAGCTCGGGCTCCGCACTCTCCAGGTTGGCCTCCGTGGGGTCCGAGTCCTGCGGCCCCAGCTTCTCCTTCAGCGTGGCCCACTTGCGCTGCGCACCCTCCTTCACCGACATCTTGCCGACCTGCGGGGCCAGGGGGAGACGGGCGTGAGCCCCCAGCCTGCGGGGAGAGGCAGTGTCCTCTGCCTCGGTGTCTCCCACCGCCTGCCAGACGGGCCTGCCCGGGGGACACTGCCCTCGTCCCGTCGTCAGGGCCGCCAGCGTCCCAGGCTTCTCCTCGTGCGCACCCCTGATGAGCTGCACATCGGCCGAGTGGGCAGCAGCACCGCCTCCCTGTCCACCCGAGGACCTCGAGGCAGCTACACTGGCAGGAACACCACTGACCCAGTGGTGACGATGCAACAAAAGTGGCATCTCTGGGGCTCCCTTATCTTGTCCTAGAGCACTTCCCCTGCCCCAGGGCTGGGGTCAGATGGGGCAACCGGGAGGGGCCGTTCCAGACCCTGGGCACTTGGGGGCTGCCCACGCCATCAGGCTGGGGAAGGGGCCAACTTGAGGGTCATGCCCAGTGCCCCCCCCCATCACGAGCAAGGCCAGGGCCCCGTGGGAAAGCAGCCTGGCCTCTGAGGCCCTCAGTTCGTCCATCTGTGTGGGCAGAGGACCGGATGTCCCCCGAGGCCCTTGGCATGTGGAGCTCTACTCGATGCAGCCTTGACAGGTGTGAGCCCCCCACCGAGAATGCCCCCCAACCCTGCCTTCCCCCCAGAGGACAGGCCGGCCGTGACTGTGTCTTTGCCACACCCACTAAGCCCCCCTCCTCGGGGCCCTCGACGGTGACGCTGTCCTCAGCCAGAGCCCCTGGGAACTGGCCTCAAAGGTCAGGGGCAGCCCAGGCTCTCCTGCGACCATGTATGGCTCGGGTCTTGTATTTAGTGCGTGAGGACAGCATGGAGCTGCTGAGAGAGCGCCCGAGAAGCAGAGCACGGCAGGACCACCGAGCCTCATGCCCAGGGCCTGGCCCCGCCACTGCCCCCCCAGGGCCCCAGCCGCCCCACGTTACAGGAGAGGAAAGGAGGGTGGTACCTAGAGAAGCCAGGTCACGTGCCCAGTCCCCAGAATTGGAAAGGGCAGAACTGAGTGAGCCTAGACCCCAGGCAGACAGTGGCCAGAGAGAGGCTGGCCATCCAGCCCAGCCTCCCTCTCAGGGCTGCTGGACCCGGTACGTTAAGGGGAGACTCCAGGGGCCATCTGAGGTCCTACAGGAGATAGAGGTGGAGTGAGGACAGGAGCCCGGGTGCCTGTCCCTGGCCTGGCTCATGGCTGGCACTCCGGGAGGCCCCACTCCCCCTCTGCCTTGGTGAGTGTCTTGGATGTCCTTTGTGCTCCCCGAGGTCCCCCCGCCCCAGGCATGGGACGGCCCGGCATTCCAGCAGCCCCTCCTCTGTTTGCAGTGGGTCCACGCCAGGAGTCCAGCCCCCCACCCAGCCCCTCATCCTCCTGCCTGGCTGAGTGCCAGGCAGGCTCGTGGGGGTGCCCCAGGGAGGCGGTCTGGTTGAGGGGAAGAGAGGCTCCGGCCTGCGTGCAAACCGGCTCTGGGCCCACCAGGCCACTCGTCCTGTGTGAGCCACCCTGTCCTCACCCGAACGTCTGGCATCTGCCCACTGGGAGCATCCAGAGGCAGGGGGTATGGGCGCCCCTGCAGGGGGGTCGGGGTGTCCGTCAGCCCTCCCTGTGACGGCACGGTTTCACCACCCGCCCCCCTCCCCCACCGTCCACTCACCCAGATGCGCAAGACCTTCTGGCTGCCTCTGCCCACCCATTCCAGGCCCTGCCTCAGGCTGCCCCTCGCACTCCCCTGGCTTCTCATCACTGCTGCCTGCTGAGCTGCCCGGCCTCCAGCTGTGGCTCTGGTCCCTCCTGGGCAGTCTCCTGGGGCCAGGGGAGGGGGCTGCTCCCGGCACCATGAAAAGCACAGCAAGCGGTCTTTGCACACACTGCTGCCCACCTTGGGTGCTGCCGCTTAAAGGCGCAGCCAGGACTGACCCTCCCTTCCCCGCCCCACCCCCGCCCCACTGGCCCAAGTCCCTGTTTCCTTGGCACAGGCTGAGTGGCTGCAGCATGAACTCTCCCAGGCCAGGCCTCCAGCATCCTAAGGGTCTTCTCTAGCCAAGAGCCACAGGGGTCCCTAGATGCAGAAAACAACCTCTCCCTGACAGCCTGCATAGGCCAGAGCGCCCCACCTGGCACTGCCTAGGCCTCCCTGTGCACCCTCAGCTCACTACCCCAAAAGACCCCACCTGCAGGGGCCCCCTTGCAGGAGGTGATCAGCCCTGTCTACCTGCCTGCCCACAAAGGATCCTAAGCTGTGTGCCCTGGAGCTGAGTTTCACAAGCTGGTCATGCCCCTCCATGCGTGCATTATACGTGTGCATAGAGTAGTACACGCTCCAAGCACGCGTCATACACGCGCACAGAACAGTTACACGCTCCACGCACGCGTCATACTCACGCACAGAACAGTACACGCTCCACGCACGTGTCATACACGCGCACAGAACAGTACACACACAGCATGTCACATGTACATATGTACTCGAATGCCTCACATACAGGCATGTGATATCGCACACCTGGCAACAGACAGGATGTATAGACGCGCTCCACATGCACACACTGTATACACGGATAGAACGCTATACGCCCATAGGAACCATGACCGGGTATACATATAATCAAACTATAAAGCGCTCCCACTCTCCTGCCAGCCTGGAGTCTCAGCCAAATTCAGGGGGTGGTGACCCAGTCTCTGCCAGGAGCAGCTCCGAAGACACAGCCTGTCCCTGTGCAGGTGGTGGTTGAATGTTTCTGCCGGGAGCCCCAGAGGGAAGCAGGCATTTGCTGCTGTCAGGAGAACGGTGGGGAACAAGGCTTCCTGGCAATAGCCGGGACCTGCGTGGGAGGCAGCGTGCTGGAAGGCAGGAGCCAGACCCCTGGGCTTACTGGCTGTGTGCTCCTGGGGACGGGACTCCCCCCTCTGCTCCCGGTCTGTCAATTGACAGGTGCGGTGGGGTTCCCAGTGGATAAACTGGACCCGGCGGGCACCGAGGGAGCGCTCACGAGCGCTCCTGGCTGTTGTCATACCGTCCACGGGCTGCCCGGCCCCGCCCGCCGGCCTGCCCAGCCCTGCCCAACCCGTGGGCTGTGTCCGGCTGCAAGCCAGCCTGGCGCCTAGACAGGGCGGGGTCGCAGGGACCCTCCCAGACTCCGCCTAGTCGGGGTGGGGCGGGGCCACACGCTCAGGAATGTGATCTCTGGGCCCCCCCACCCCACCTGGGGGTGGGGTCAGCCTGCCGGAGGCGGGGCCAGTGCAGGAATTTGCATCTGCAGAGCCTTTTTCTGCGGCAGGCACCACCCGCTGAAGAACACGACCGTCTCCCAAGGTCCAAGTACCTGGAGGTTCAGGCCCTACCCAGTCCCTCGGGCAGCTGAAAGGTGGGGGCGCTTCAGCAACCCCCAAGTGCCCCGCAGGCAGTCCGTCCTTCCCCCTGCACCGGGGGAACTCTGGTGGGCAGGGGCCTTTTGCAGAGGAAGATACTGGGGCTCTGACATGAGTGGCACGTTCCCCCATGCGTCTTCAGCGCTCAATTTTGTTGTACCAATAAAGTGGGGTTCCCGCTGGGGCAGGGTAATGGCTTCCCCCTCACCTGGGTCAGTCCACTGACCCGGTGCGCTGCTCACCCGAGCTCACCCAGCCCATGAGGACCCGGAGGAGACGTGGACACTCAACTGCCTTTCTGCCCACGCCCGGCCAGCCCCGCACAGCAGTACTGGCACCTCCATCCAGGCACCCACATGCGCAGGCAGCTGTGCTGACTCATGGGAAGGCACCGCCCCTGCCTGGCAGGCGTGTGTCAAGCAGAGTGTGTTCCTGGCGGGGGACAGGGGGCAGGGTCGAAGCTGCCCCCTCCCCACCCCCCGACCTCAGGGTCCAGCCCCTGCCATGCAGATGGAAAAACTGAGCCAGAGAGGGAGGGCCTCCTGAGGTGGGCACTGGGCACCAAGCTGGGTCATGGGCATGGCTGCTGGGAGGCCCCCGCATGGGCCCCCTGGGGTCTGAACAGTGTGGTGGGGTGGGGAAGCCCAGAGAAATGCCAGCGCTCAGCACCCTGGAGGAGAGGGTTTGGCCTTCTGTTCCTAGATCACTGCGAGAGCTGGGGGAGGCGCCGGGGGGCCCAGGGGTGGGAGTGAGGGGGAGGGGAGGCACCGGCTAGGGACAGGGGCACCCGGGAGAGGGGCTGGCTGCTGTGGGGAGGCAGCCTCAGGGCGGCCCTGCCAGCGTCAGCACAGGGGCTGGGGTGCTTCTGGGCCCAGAGCCAGTGAGGGCGCGGGGGCGGGGTGCACAGAGTGAGCTTGTCTTCCTTGGGGAAGGCGGGTACAAAGGCAGAAGCGGGGTTCCGGAACTGGGAGGCAGGGGCTGCCACACTGTATTTTTAGCTCCAAATTTTTCCACTGCCTGGCAACCCTTGTATCGTGTTTCCAGCAGCAATTCCCTGGAGCTCAGGGGCAGTCGGGGCCCTGCAGGATTAGGGGATGCCCCTGGAGCTGATTCCTACTCAGATGCCCCATGTCCCTACCCCCCATCACCTGGGCTCCTTTCAAGCCTCCAGTGCATGCACCACCTTCCCCACCAGGCCGGAAGCCCTCAAAGGACTAGCGCGGGTCACCCACCAGGGGCTCATCCCGGGCCGGAGGCCGTGCACAGTGGGCCTTGGGGAAGGAGGAACAACCTAGTGCCTACCCACCGCCCATCCATCCCCAGGCACAGAGTGCAGACGGCCTTCACCAAGGGGTGGTGTCCTCACGGGCCCCTGGCTGGTCTCACGTGCAAGGAGCGCTCCAGCCCCCTGCTGCCTGCAGTCCCAGGATGGAGTGCGGGGCCTGTGCCTCCCAAGCCCTCCCCTGAACGCCACCGCCCAATCCCACCATGTGTGAGGGGGCCTGCCGGGCCACTGTGCATCCAGCAACAAGACAGGAGGGGCTCCTTGGGGGTGGGTGGGCACCAAGACCTCCACGGCGGTGCTGAATTAAAAACAGAGACAGGAAGTAGGACACCAAGTCGTACTG